CCATATTAAAATTTATTATCATCCAGGGTCTCGATTCCAATAAGCTTATAATTAAACTAACCATCTCAATAAGATTTTATAAGTTTGATTGTAAGCTTATTGTAATCAACGACGGGATGGCACTATGACAGTGGTTCCATGATGGTGGCGATCTGACGGTGGTAGCCAGGCGGTTATGGTCTGTCAGCGATGGTGTTTAGACATAATTCAAGCGACGAAGGCAACCAAATGATAGTGGTCAGGTAACAGTTGTCCGACAATGACAACGGTTAAATAGTGGTCCAGTGGAGTGGCGACCAAATTTATGTGTTCGAGAAGCGTTAATCCGACAATGGCGGTGACCAGGGAACGTCAATATAAACTATTGCGTGCTCAACCTTCATGACGGTGGAGTGATATATTAATGTCTTAAGGTGCGTTTGGGGCAGCGATGCGGTGGCGGTACGATGTCGTTGTGTGGTATTTTCTGTTTGACAAAACTGCATTTTGTCTACTTTTTTAAAAAGTAATTGCTGAAAGCTATGTTTTGCCACTGGACCTAGCTAAGTGTGGTAACTTTAGAAAGTTGCGGTCAACCTTTTTTTTAAAAAAAAAAATTCTAATAGCCACCAAAATATGTTGAGCAACATTTGCTTCTGCATCAGCTTCGCAATTGCTTTTTCAAATAGTTGGAACTGCCCAAAACATACTCTTAGTGTTGTACAAAGATCTGACACACATAGGTAAAAAGAAATCAATAGAAAATACAGTAGGATTTTTTTTGCAGCGGCAGCGCTTAAATGGTGATGGTTGAGATGCGTTGGTCCTACATTGGCTGCAACCGATTGGTGATGGCCAAGAAGCGATAATGGTGGTTGGGTGATTATGATGGCTCGATGGTGGTGACCGGGCAACTGTGGACTGGTGGTGGTGTTGCCCTCAAGATAGCTTCTTCAGCTTTCTCCTCCATATCTTACTCTTAAGTCCTTTTCATTTTTTCCATGTTAAAACCCTTGCTATCGTTTTTGCCATTTTCTTTTTTTATTTGTGTGCGTGTGATTCAGATCTTCGTATAACAGTAAGACATTAATATATCACTTTTTTGTTGCAAATTTACGAGCATGCAATAGTTTGGCATGTGAATAGCCAATTGGATTCCAAATGTAACAAGCTTGAAGTCAAAATTAGCATCCGTAAAGCAGAATCCAATAAGCATAATAGCATTCGATTCTGACATCATAAAACACTGAAATGCTCATAGAAACCATCTCATCAAAGGGATTGCTCCAGTCGTCCGATGCAATAGTCCATATTCATGTGGTGTTTACAGAGGGTGTCACTCACAAAATATATAAATAAGCTCACTCCTTCATGGCAGGGGACTTGAGACATGGATCCAAGAAGAGAAGGTTGAAGGAGTGTTGAACTCTCGAGGGTTTCCGACCTCCACCATCGCCCGACCGCCGCCGACTAGCAATCACTAGACCATGATTGCTTGACCACCGTCGTCTGGCCAACGGATGCCGCCGAAGCACCATTGTCGCTACCCTACCATCAACATTGACCTGAGGCTGCCAACCGACCACCATCGCTACCACTGGACCATCAATGTTAGAGCGTAGCCATTTGATCGCCAGCACTGTTGGACCACCGTCATCGCCACCAGACTAATATTGAATGGCCACCGCAGTCGAGCAACCGCCATCTTAGGACCACCATTGCTTGGACAACCATCATCATACCACCGTTGTTGACATCAGACCACCGCAGGTGTTGTCGAACTAACACCGTTGCCACCACTGGACCTCTACTACCCCAAGCATTACCTTCTTTGCTGCTACAATCGATGTTGTAATCAGACTTTCGAGCACTCGACCTCTTCCGTTGGTTTTTTTTCACAACAGTCAAATACTCATGTAATATTACTTACAACTATTCAAAGGTATAAGCTACATAAACATAGCGTAATCATTTCCATTGGGTTAAACCCATGATTTTTGCCCCTTCGGGCTCTCGCCAAAAAAAAATCTTCTATCGTCATTTTTATCAGTGTTACTTGTGTTTCTGTTACAGACTAAGTCATTAATATATTAATCTATTGTCGTGAATTTATAAAAACACAATAATTCAAAAGAAAATCAACATAATTTTAGTAATTGTGCATGGGGAAATAGAGAACTAAACTTGATGAATTTAGGTGTTCAATCAATGCAAATGTGATCTTAATTTAAGTGATAATCATAGGTGTTAAATATTTCTGTTATACAAATTAGGTGATAATTATTGTGGATAATTGTATTTTGCTTAATAGAAAAAGCATGTATTTTCACATGTTTAAATAGCAAAAAATAACTTTTATGAACCTTTAGAATCATTAGACACCCTTTTAAGTAGCATTTACATTTCTCATAATTATTAAGAGAAGTATAAGTGGCGATTTGATATTTCAGAAGAAATAGAATTACTTTTAATCATTATGGCGGAAGAAATAGGAAAGAGCTCTCACTCTAATAGAAAATTATTTCATTTACATATTATCAATAATATAATTAGATAAACAACAAATCTCATATTATTAAATATTTATAGAATACAATGACTTTGGGAATCTTAAGAATCATTGGATACCTATTCTATATAGGCTATACAATAATAATTTATAAGTTGAGCATTTAGTAATTTGGCACAAAAGGCCATTTTGTGATATATGTATACACAAATATGAATATACGAGAATTTTTTGCTAAATTTCTCTCGTTACAACTAGTTCAACTGTCAAAGTAGCTTAATCGAACCCACTTGCCTAAGTGGTTGAATCAAACTTATCTGGCAATTCAATCACTCTGATTTTCTTCGAAAGGTAAACCTAGCCCCACTGGGACAGCCAACAGAGGAAGTTATCATGGCTACTAAGAACATCCGTCAAATCTCTATTAAAGGTAGGGCTGTCAAAACAGCTTGTTGTTCGCGAACAGCTCGTGTTCGACTCGTTAAGAAGCTCGTGTTAGGCTCGTTAATTTTGTTCGATAAGTTAACGAGCTGAACACGAACTAAGATGCGTTCGGCTCGTTTTAGCTCGAAATACTACTCATCAAGTTTATATATATATATATATTATTAAGTGGTATTTTAAAAAAATCTAATTGACTAGATAACTACAAAGATTTATAACCAATTAAAATATTGATTAAGAAAATATAATAAAAATTATTAAATTATATTCAAATGATGTTTTAATATAAATAATAATTTTTAAATCTTGCTCAAACCCTTATTATCTTATGGCTACATGATTAGGGTTGTTAAAAGGACTCTTTGTTCGTGAACAGCTCGTGTTCGGCTGGTTAAGCAAACGAGTCAAACACGAATACACTTTTTGAGCTCGAAATATAAATGAGCCGAACACAAAGCTTAGCATGGCTCGCTTGTGTTCGGCTCGTTTACACCCCTAATTAAAGGCACGACCAGAGTCAATTCTTTATTAAAGGAGGCACCAGATATTTGGGACTACTTTTTCACCCAAGGGATGGCTGCCGTATCGGTAATATCTGACATTGATCATGTTAGATTCTGGATTGTTTTTTGTGAACACACCTCGAGAGTTAAGAGTCAAGTGAATGAGAGAACAATGTGAATCAAGAATTGCAACGGAGAGAAGCGGGGGAGCCTTCACGGTCTGCTTCCGGTGTTCCTTTTGGCTCTTATTTATAAGAATATGTTTTGTACAATTGGAGAAATGATGAAATAGTTATGAAATCCGCTCTTAATATGATTAATGTTTTATCAAATTATATAAATTTCATTCCATATCTGTGTTACAATTTGATTTTTGATATGATGATATTTGGTTGGTCGATTCGCTACAGTGCAACCGACTGTGCCTTGTGTTTGGTCGACAGAGGCATTCGGTCAAACACGATCTCGTCCGCTGTGGCAAGAGCAAGTCAGTCGTTTAATCGCGAGCAACGGGTTTCTGCCTGTGCTTCGGTCAGTCGGTCAACTGATGAGTTGATTTGTTTTGTCCGGTAAATCATAGCTCACATGTAGCTTTGGCTCAAGTCTTATGGAGCCCACGTCTCGTCTACCAGGTTGGTTCATTGACTCGACCAAATACCCCTATTAGAATGATTTTGTCGCTGTCTGTGTGAGGTATCCTATGAGACTTGTTGTCATGATGAATTACTTTTCGCTCCTGGCGGATTGTGTCGCTATCAAGCCAGAGACCATCTCTAGTGTTTTGATCTGTCACATTTTTAGAGATGCAGTTTCACCAGCTTGGCGGTGACTTTTCTGTTAACTGTTTACCTTCAGGAGAAATTTTTTATTTTTTAGTCGTTCATTCTTTTTAATATTTGTGTCGGTAGCTCAAGTGCATACATATCAGCAATACTTGACATTCACATCCTAGTCTTTTCATAGGACATCAGAAAAAGGTATCATTAGAGTGCTAGATGTAGTATCATTATTATTATATGAACTTTCTACTCTTATGTATAAATTGGAGGGAAAGGGAGACACAACATATTTTCTTCTTTTCTCTAGGGAGTCTACTCCTTTGCTCGCTTCGGTGATCACTTACTATCTCCTTAAAAAATCCTATAACTCAAGGAACTTGGTAGAAGCAGACTTTCTCAGATATGTTAATAACGATTTCCCACAAAGTGATGATGAAATATAACTTGTACAAATTGTACAAATCTTTCCATTTTTCAATTTGATCCGATCCATTCGTTCGTAGAGCTATTTACTCCAGACATGTCTACAACACCTCTAACAGAAGAACAAATAGTCAATTTGTAAAAAAATTTATTGTCAAATTTTTTCAGATATGAATCTACACATGATTTTAGCCAAAAAGTCAGAAAATATCAACATCATTGATATAATTTACTATCTCTCTCTCTCTATCTCTCTCTCTATCTCTCTCTATCTCTGCGAACAACGAGCTTTTTTGACAGCCCTATCTCTCTCTATCTCTCTATCTCTCTCTATCTCTACTCACAAATAACATCGCCCTACAGTTTAAAAGATTCAACAATCCTTAAAAAAATAAAATAAAAAACCGTTCAACGGAATCCCGCTTCAATTCTCCGACCAGCGTTGCATTTCCCATTTTCCGTATAAATTAACGCAAACTCACTGTCCATTCCCTCTATACTTGAACTTCTCCTACACGAGGGTTAGGGTTTTTCTCTCTCCTTCTCTCTCTCTCGCTCTCACTTTCCTCTCTGCGAGGAGCAAAACGGCGCTGCGGTGGAGGTTTTCTCGAAGCGACAATGAGTGAGAGCAAGAAGCAAGGAGATCTCAATACTGCCGATCTGTCTTCTGCTCTGCCATCCACCACCGCTGGTCTTCCCTCAAAGCCATCTTTCTTTTTTTTTTCTCCTCTCGTAAACTTATTTTAGTTTTATCTCTCGGATTGTGGTATTTTGATTACATGGTGATAAGGCTGATTATGGTGTGTAGGTCTCAATGCAGAAGAAAGAGCGGGCTTGGTTGATGCTCTGAAGGTATGATTTTTGGCATATATAGTATTTTTTATTTCTTTTGTTTAGAGTTATTTGGTGATTCGGAGGCTTTTCTTATCTTAAAACGCTGTGTTTGTGACTTGCAGAGCAAACTTCAGAGCCTGGCGGAGCTACACGTAGAGGCAATGGAGACATTGTCTCCTAAGGTCAAGAAGCGTGTTGAGGTTCTTAGAGATATCCAGGTCCTCCCGCCCCCGATATATATATTTTTACTTTTTAATCTTATAATTCATAAATTGCAACTGAAACCTCATTTATTACATGGCTGAAGGTATGGCCATATCATTGATGGTGATGGGGCATTTGCCTCCCCTGGTAATGTTGGATGATGGCATGCTCTCGAAATTTGGGTACTTTTGGTTTAATATGAATACTTAGCTGTATGAAAGAAACTTTTTCAGTTTAGATTTGGCCAAAATTATTAATTTAAGGAAAATTTATATATACACCACATAATTCTTATGGATTTGCATATCAAACACCCAAAAGTTTGATACTGGCATTCATAACACCTTGACGTTATAAAACTATGCATAAAAAAGTGCACATGACCTTTAAAAAGTAAGTAAGGTGGTATTTTTGAAGTGATGTTAAAAATTGAAGTGTTATGAATGTAAGTATTAAAGTTTAGGTGTTAAATATGTAAACACATTAGAATTGTGTGTTATGAATGTAAATGCCCCTTAATTTTATGTGTATGGTTTGTGAGATGGATGTAAACTGAAATTGGATCAATATTGAGTAAATTCATCACATCAGTGGTGGATGGCTATAAAATATATGTACGAGCAAAACTGCTTCTGATCCAATTAAATTGGATAAAATTTAATATTTAGAGGTTTTGAGATGAAAACAACATATAAGTTGGGTAACTTTAAGTAAGGCTGCGACTGCTGCAGCAAATTAAGTGCTGAAATACATGAATATCCTTCATTACTTCTAAATTTATGTTGTAGAAAAGTAAATAGGCTTTTTATCTTTTTAGTGTGTCAATCTTTTATTGGAAGCGCCAAGTGGATTTGAAGTTGGATGAAAATGGTTTATTGTTAAGATTATAATAGATGTTTATATTCCCGAAACTTGAGAATAGAAGAAAGTCGACTTCACATTTGTTGAGCCTCTAAACTTCATAAAATTGATGGTTTTAAAAGATATGTAAATTTTGAAGTTAAGTATTGAATTTCTTACCCTTTTTTCTTGCATTTGAAACGCTATGAAATAAGTAAATAACAATGCTTGGTTGAAATTTTGAAAATGGTCTTTATGAATTAATATATGTCAGCAAACATGAAGACGTTCTATATAATAGGGAAGAAGTTCATTTATTCTTCAATGCTTGTTGAATCTTGATGCTTGCTAGAAAATCCGTGGCAGTATAATAGATTATCGTCATAGCGTTGTACGAGAATTCAATATACACATAGATGAAAGAGAAACAAGCAGTGACGGCTCAAGAAGTTTTTACGTGGAAAACTCGAAAAGGAAAAAACCACATGATCTGACCCACTTGTGAAAATCTACTATTGATTGATGATTATAGAAATTCCTTCTCTTACAGACGGGAAAATATTACTATATTTTTCAGATTACAACGTAGACTGTCGGCGTCTGGTTGGTGGTGATTGATGACGATCGGCGGGGGTTGGCCAGGTCGACGGCGGTCGACGAAGATGTTGAGCTACAGTTCTTCCTCAAAACCTCAAACTCTCTCTAAGCTTAAGCTCCCCCTTATGATAGGGGAGGGACTTTATTTATAGTGTTCTGGGTGCAATTAATGCAAGAATATGAACTATTTTGATCAGACGGTCCGAAGAGCTTCCCTCAATCAAACGGTGATTAATGGACATTTGGGATCCTTAATAATGTCAAAATTGATTGATTTTGGGCTCGTTGGATTCGTCTAGTTGAGACGCTTAATTCGACTGTAAACTTGCCAGATTTGATCAAAATTGATTGATTTTGGGCTCGTTGGATTCGTCCAGTTGAGACGCTTAATTTGACTGTAAGCTTGCCAGATTTGGCATCTGTTTGACCTTTCAAATGTGTCCGGAAATCTTTTAAGAATGGTTTAATGATTTGATCTTGGCTTGATTTGACTCGAATTGGACTAACTTTGATATCATTTGGTCATAATCGAGTTGGTCAGTTTGACAATAAGCTTACTGAAATCAGAGCTCTGGATGTCTGTTAATCAAATTTTGGATGTTTCTTGCTCAAAAAAATTGCCTTGAGATTCATGTCGGATGATGAAAATTTGTTGGTGGCGTATCAAATCTAAAAATCCAACATAAAGAATGACTTCATATGCCATAATTTGTTCTCTTTGTGATGCACATGATCGGAAATGTTTGTTTATGGAATAATTGAAGACATGAAAACATGGTAGATTAAGAAATAATTGAAGCACTCAATTTTAAACACGTGGAACACTTGAAATCATATTATTATCTTTGTTGAAAAAGTTCATGCATTCGCGGTGGTGAAAATGTATAAGTTATTATTGACAAATTGATTTGGTGTTTTTTATTTTAATAATCTATGTCGGAAGCTTGGGAATATATTATATTCTTAAGTTTCACCATTGATCTCAATACTTTATTTTCTTACTTGTTCAAAGATATACATTTAAGGAAACTACTTTTTTGTTATGTGGTCAAAGTTACTTTCTCTTCAAGTAAATAAATTATTTTCAACTTTGCAACCTTCATTTTTAAAAGGGATCAAATGTTTTTCTTATGAAGCATTTATTCACTATTATAAGATATTATGCTATTGCTAAATTATTTTGCTTATCCAACATGTATGCTCTCATAACCAATCCTACTAAGACTACACGTACTTTTTTTATTCACTACCAAGAACTACTCTTTTGTTTTATGAATAATTATTCTTCCTTCCTTTGTTATTGTAATAGCTTAATTATTTTATGCCAATTTTATTTATTTATTTAATGAATCGTCTAATCAAATTTGAAGAACCATATGAACTAATCACGTTGATAATAACCTCATCAATAATTAAGATAATAGCAATTGCCCTATCTCTATGTCTCTATTCTTCTTAATTATTTTATTTTAATGGAGATATGTGCATGCCACCGAAATCAAGCCTATTTATCAAATTTCCATAGAAGCCAAACATATATTTTCCACTTGCTGCAACCAAATAATATGGAATTTGAAAATTCTACTTGGGAGTGGTGAGTTCCATTCCTATAACATTTTGGACTGGATTATATTTTTGTATGAATAAAGATTTCATGTAATTTCCTGTTTAATTTCCATTAGTTATATCACTACGATTTTATTTTATTTTTTTTTTTGTAGTTCCCGTTACCTTGTTTTTTGAAATTAAACTTCTGTCTTCTTCATGTTTGGATGCTATTTCATGTCATCTTTTAAGCGCCTCTCTCTCTCTTTCTCTCTCTCGTTATATATATATATATATATATATAGACATATAGACACACACGCACATAAAATTTAAGAAGGCTAGTAAAAAATGAAAAGTGGATTAATAGCCCTTTACGAACAATTTTAAGAATGTATTTCTTTATGAAATATTCAGGCTCGTCACGGTGAGCTTGAGTCCAAGTTTCATGAGGAAAGAGCTGCACTTGAAGCTAAATACCAGAAGCTTTATGAGCCTCTTTACACCAAGGTAATTTATCTCTCTCTTTCTCTCCCTCTCTCTCTCTTTCAAATCTTGACTTATATGAAATAAATTGCTGATTTGTTGATATCTCTGTTTTTAACTTGTATTTGTAATAAGCAGAGGTATGAGATTGTAAATGGTATGGCTGAGGTTGTTGCAGATGAATCTGCGGAAGCTACTGCTGCCGAGGATAAAACAAATGAAGGTCCATCCTATAATTCCTATTTTGTCTTTGGAATTTTTTGTTATATATTTTTTTATAGATTTCTAAATTTCATAATCTTTTCATGTCTGGATATTTATTGTACTTCTTTTGTCCGCAGGTAAAGGTGTTCCAGATTTTTGGCTCACAGCATTGAAAACCAATGAAGTGGTCTCTGAGGAGGTTGTGCAGAATGACATGACACTCTTATTTCTGAGTTTATATAAGTGTTAAATTAATCTTAATACTCTTTTAATGGGAGTTAATATATTTCTCACTGATGCTTATTTCAACTCATATTAGAAGACTATGGTGAAGATTAAATTGACACTTTTATAAACTCTTTGACTACTCACATTGGGCTATTTTAGTCAGAGAGTTTATAAAAGTGCTAAATTAGCCCACAATCTCTTTTAATGGGGGCTAAAATAGCCCGTAATGGGTACTATTTCAAAACCCATATTAAACGACTCTGGGGACTAAGTTTCCCCCCTTCAAAGAGTCAGGATACCATTTCCACACTTCTCTTGTGAAGTATTTTGGATTAAATTTGATGAGTCTAGAAACTAAATTGGATACATAAAATAGCCTAGGAGTAAAACGCCCTACCATAAATACTTCTGGCTCCATTTTTGATGTTTTGCTCATTTCTTTTATATTGAAAGTAGTCTTTATTTAGTCTATACTCTGATTTCCTTTCTGAATATCTGTGAGAATACTAATGAAATAGCTTCGAGAAAGTACTAATAATTTGGGTTTCTTTGTGGATCAGATCCATGAGCGAGATGAGGATGCTCTGAAGCATCTTAAAGATATTAGGTGCTCCAAACTTGATGACCCGAAGGGATTCAAGCTTGAATTCTTCTTCAATCCTAATCCTTACTTCAAGAATTCTGTGCTAAGTAAAACTTATCATATGATTGATGACGATGATCCTATTCTAGAGAAAGCCGTCGGGTATGCCCATTATTTCAATATTTACTTGATTCTTATTAGGGACACTTACATACAATGCTTATTAGGATTTTATGAAAATATGAAAGCTTAGGTGTAAGATATGTAAATACATAAGAATTACGTGCTACTTATGTAAATTTCCTTTATTATTATTTTCTCAATCAAAGTGTTCCATGATTTTTGTTTCAGGACTGAAATTGAATGGTTTCCAGGGAAGTGCTTGACTCAAAAAGTTCTGAAAAAGAAGCCAAAGAAGGGATCGAAAAAGACAAAGCCGGTAACAAAGACTGAAGTTTGCGAGAGCTTTTTCAATTTTTTCAGTCCTCCTAAAGTTCCTGAAGATGATGATGAACTTGATGAAGATACTGTATGTTACATATTCTATCTATTTCTGCTGAACAAACAAAAAGGAAAATCTAAAGCATTATATATATATTTTTTCTTTTTGACAGGCTGAACAGCTACAGGATCAAATGGAGCAGGATTATGACATTGGGTAAGCCATTTTTCAATGATATTATGAATTTTTAATAAGAATATAGTAATTTTTTTTGTAAAAAGCTGTTAATTTTCTGATAGAGATCTCATTAGTTTCACACTTGAATGTGAATTTGTGGGACTAATCTTAAATCCTTGTTCCCTCGAAGCTGCCATGTTTAACGGCTCAAAATCATAATAGCTCTACTGTTCTAATGTATTAATTTTTTAGGCTTTTACATACATAGCGCACAATTCTTATGTATTTTTATATCTCACACCTAAACTTTCATATTTACACACCTGCTCTCAAATCTTTAATAATACATAAAAAATTGCACTGTTACCGCTTTTTAAAAATGAAATATACTTTTTCATGCATAGGTTTAAAATACCAGAGCGCTAAGTATGTTACATATGAAAGTTTAGAATGTGCTACGGAACTAAATTTCCCATAATTTTTTTTTATTTTAGAGAAACATTTTGTTTTTTAAAATTATTGGGGCGCAGATCCTTTTACTTATAATGTACTATCTATTTGCTTATTGGGACTATAGGTCCACCATTCGAGACAAGATCATTCCTCATGCTGTCTCATGGTTTACCGGCGAGGCCGTTAAGGAGGAGTTTGGTGGTATTGGAGATGAAGAGGATAATGAGGATGAAGATGAGGATGATGAAGAAGAAGATGAGGATGATGATGAAGAAGATGAAGTGGAAGAAGTCAATGCAAAGAAGAAGGTAGAGTATGCAATGTCATTTAAATTTCTTCTTTAGTTTAAGCTTGTCAAGATGGATGCTAATCTATTCTTAATTTGAATGCTTCATGCAGTCTGCAGCAGGTCGGAAGGTAATAACCAATCACCTAAACCTTGTTACAACTTATAAATCCTGTCACCATCAATTTTATTTAGGGGATTTATATAAATACGACTCAATCCCTATTTTTTTCCATATTTAACACCTAAACTTTTCCTTTTTACATTAATACCACCCAAATCTTAAATTCCACATAAAAAATGCCACTTTTAACTTCCAAAATTTGGAATACCTTTTCATGCAAAAAAATTGAAGTTTATTAGGCGTTAGATATGTAAATTACATAGGAATTGAGGGGTATTGATATAAATCTTCCTTTTATTTATTCATTTATTTATTATTTAGTATATGTGATAATTTTGAACATTCAGAAGGATGGAGAAGTTCAGCAAGTTGATCGGCCTCCAGAATGCAAGCAGCAGTAGGAATCATATTTCATGAATTTGGTTGAAATTTTTTGGTGAGTTGAATATGTTCTCAATGACATACAGATATATATGGTTATGTTTTTTATTGATGGCAGTATAATTAGCGCACCTAACACTCCATTTCCCTTTCTTCCTTGTTATTGAATGTGCCAGTTTTGGATTTTGGAATCTTGGTTTGTCTACATTCATTTTTCTTTTTTCCTTTTTGCTTTTCAAAGCACTGTATGCTATCGTGAAATGATTTTGTTTCATCTTATAAATTTGGGAAGTTAAAATAGGAGTTACATTCAATATATTTATGAAAGCTTTTTTATTTTTTAATGTGTAGGTATTAAGGTGAGATTTTCCACGAGCGGATCATCCATATGTGCGGATGGATGTATTCAGGATGTATTTCGGTTGTATTTGGAGTCTATTCACGATGTACCCCTCTAATCTGTACTTACGAATGATTGTAGTTGGATAAGATTTCGAGAATGAGAAGAGGATGCATTGTAGAAGATGATGAAGTGCTTTTTTGATAAAGATAAAAATAAAAATAAAACAAAATAAAAAAGAATCAAATTTTGATTAGGGTAGATTGATAAAATGCTTTTAGAGATAATGAGTGTCTCGCGAATGAGTTTGAGAATTGAGTTAATCAAGTTGCAAGCTTGAGCTGGTGTTGAAACTCAAGCTCGCTTATTAAACATCTCAAACTCATTGAGAGGCTTGGCTCGTGAGTCAGTTCGATTAGTTGGATATGTTGATGATAAAAAAACTGGAACTAATGAGGCTCGGTTCCTTTGCTTGTGAGCGGGTTTGATTAGTTGGATTTCATTAATGTGTGTTGCAATATTTCTTGTTTCAATGTTAGTTGGCTTCTTTGATGACCTCTTCTGATAATTTTATCTTAGCTCGTGAGTTTGTTGTTAGCACCGCTAGCTAAGTTCGAATCAAGTACGACTCGAAGCCACTTGTCCCTTATACATCATGGAAACACACTAAATGTAGCTTAGCTTTTGGATCAGGTTTCCAGCTTATTTGGTGCGGTGGCGTTTTGAAAACGCACCTGACCTGTTTGGGTAAACTGCGTTTTGACAGTTTATGTGTTTTCTAAACGCAGAAAACAACTTTTTCACACCGCATTAGATGTAGGTGCAGTGGGAGCTTATTGGCAACGGTTCAGCTTTTTCCAAAAAAAAAAATTACAATAACCACTGCACCTAGCTTATTAGCAGATTATTTTTAATCAGCTTATCAGCAGATTATTCAATAAGCTACAGCTGCCCCAAACAGACCCTCAGTCTTATCAATAAATCTATTTATGAGTTGAACTTAATGTGAATTTAAATTGAATCGGACAAGCTTGTATTTGATTTTGATTTAATCAAAATCATATTTAATATAGGCAATTCGTTAAAAGAGTTCATTTTTCTCTTGGTTGCTTGAGTTCAGTGCTTTATTATTAGAAATATATATTAATATGGACTTATTATTTTTGTCATAAATAGGGACATGAAAAAATTGGGCGA